GTAATATAATTGAACCTTTTGTTTGACAGAACCTAATACTTGAGCCTGAATATTTTTTTGTTTTAGTTGCAGTTGTGTCATAGCACAGACCCTTTATATAATTTCTTAGCTTATTTTCATCCAAAAGGTTTGCTAAAGTATCATGATAAGACTTTCCAGTACCGTGTTCCATTGGCAAAACGCCGAGAAGCTTTAAATCGCTGTCTATATTTACAAGAACAACAAAACAATCTCGTTATCATTAGTAACACCCTAAAAATTTCCATCAAAGTGTGTACTTAATGGAAATTCATTTTGCATTGCAGCTTTTATTATATCTCTTAATAATTAGCTGCACTTGTACATACTGCTTTCTTCTTTTTACATCTGATGGTAGATTTAGAAATCAGGAAACTTGTCAAACACAAATATTTTTAACACCTCAGCTGTCTGTAACTCTCTATTCAAATTTCTTGGCGGTAATGCATTACTTATTAACACCAATTACAAACCATAAATAACAGTAATTAACTTGGTGATTAGTATATTGAATATTTGGCTGTTAACTCTTTTCATTTTCTACCTCAATTTTATACTATATAAGAATCAGTCCATCTGTCCTATTTGGTGCAGAAGGTTCATTGAAATCTGATTCATAGAGGGGGTCAATAATGATGTCTAGTGAAAAACATTTGTGTTTTTCAACTAGACATCATTATTGACGTATACTGTTTTGTTTAAACTGGATTTTGTCTATTATTTTGATTTTTTGTGTCAACGAATCAAGAGGCTGTTGTTTCTCTCAAATTACACAACCAATGAGCTTTCAATAAACAAGCCATCATCAGAACCAGAAACCATCAGAAATATTCATTAATATTAATAACATACATCCAGTTTCTAAAATCTCCCAATTAGAACAAATAATTATCACTATTTTTATATAAATATACTAAAAAGCATTGATAAAATTCAAAAATGGTCAATTTTATGCATTACCTATTGAATCTGATATTCCCCTTCCCCCCTCCCCTCTTTAACTGTTGAAAATGAGACTCAACGAAGCAAAAAAATTATGTAAGAACAAAAAAATCATAATGATAAATACTTAGATCATGATCTATCAACTAAGTAGATTGAAATCTTATTGCAATAAGATTTCAATCTACGAAGATGAGTAGCCTGCCAGAAGCATGAGAACAGGGATCTGATCTGCAAAAAGAGTTTCTGCAAGAATTCTAAACAAAGATGTGTTGCCTCCGCTGTAATGTGAAGAAAGCAGAGTATAAGATTTTATCATCAGTGAGTTTAGTGTCAGGGATGATGAAGCTCTATATTAAGTACATAAATCTGCATCAAATTCAAACTCAAGCGATAGCAACTTCTCTAAAATACAGAACGAGCTTTTACAGGAAAATAATACACCCATCAATATTTCACTAGCAAAACTTTAAGCAAAAAGTAAATTAGGATCGTTTTTGTTCTGAGAATGTCAAAAAAGAAAAATCTTTAGAAAACAAAAAGAAAAATCTTTAGTTGTATCTAGATCAAAAAGGAGAGCAAAACATGCATATAACAGAAGAACTGGATGAGTAACAAAATGCACTATCAATTTCAGTTAAAAATAAGATTATTTGACTCAAGAGGATGGAAGTAGAAGATGGAGGTAGAATCACAATGACTACAGTAAAACTCAATGAACTTGAGGTTAATTTTTGCATATTGGAAATGATTCTGAATTGAAACTTTGTTTAGATTTTTTAAATAATGAAGATTCTACTAAGATAATTATAAGTATAAGTGCTGAAGATCTGGTTGTTTGTATTGTTGCAATTTCTGACCAATAAAGAGTAGCTATATGCCCACAAACTTTATAAGTAGCTGATATTTGCAATATAGCTGGTGTAAATTTAGAAGATATTAATTTATCAAGAAGTACAGTCTATAGAAAGAGATTCAAGAAGATTGAGATTTAGTAGATATCTCGATCTAAGGCAAGAAAATATAACTACTCTGAAGGGAAAAAAGCTATGTTTTCATTTTGATGGAAAGAGGATAAAACAGATTAAAGATCTAAAAATAACTGTTTCTGTAGAAAGAATAGCAGTCAATGTTACATCCCCTGATATAGATGACACAGATGGCATACCGCTAGGTGTTGTTGAGACACCAAGATCCAAAAGTAGTGACCAGGCTGAAGCAATTTTGAATCTACTAGAATACTTTGACATTGATGATAGACCTAGTTAGGTTTGATTGAAATCAGCTAAGTCATCCCTTTATGAATTTGCAAGAAATCTCTGGAGTTTGTAAAAGAGCCCTTTGCCTCAAAAACCTTTGTGAAGAGTGATTACAGGAAACTATGAGGGCTTTTTGTTATTTATTTGGGAGGTGAAGTACCTGGATTTTGTTTTCATCAACCTGGAGCCTGCCATGAAGCTAAATGTACTGTAAATTGTAAAAAAAATGCGTAAGTATAATAAATAATATATAGATAAAAAAATATAACAAATAAATAATGATAGCGACAAATTTGTCGCCATTAATATTTATTTGTTTTAAATCTTACTCTTTAGGTTTATGTTTGATCCTTTATACATTCTTATACATTTTTATACATTCTTAATCTGAGAATAACAGACAACCATGATTATGAGCGCAGTGAAAAAAATGATGATTGAGACAGCAGTCTTCTTCACATCTATCTTGGTTTATCAAGTCGTATTTGGATGCAAAATCACACTCAAATGATCTTGTCACTTTCAAGAATCCTTTTTGCATTAAGGATTAATATCCCAATATTGGTGGTGGAATTGGTTGCTAAGTATGCAAAGACATAACTGGTACTTGACTGAGTAGTTGATGCTACTATCTCTGGATGATGAAGATGTAGAGCAGGAAGAGATGTTGGATTGATTAGTTCAGTATGAAGTTCCTAACAAAATTCAATATTGGAAAACCTGAGCTACCAATCATATTGGAGTCCACTGAGCTTTAGAAACTGGTAGGTCCAGAAAGTTGGATCCTGTTGGAAATTGTAGGTATCCCTAATGGTGAAGTAGAGTTAAATAAATTTTGTTAAAAATATGATTTGCGTCAACGATTGTGCAAAGAGAAACAAACGCCTAATTCAGGGTTTTGTAGGGAGATTCAAATCTGACAATATGCAAAAAAAAGTTAATGGTGGCCAGGGATAATAGAAAGAAGCTTTAAAAAGATCTTTCTAAGTCCTGGTTAAAAAATATATAATTTATTATTCCTCAAATACATATTTTTTTAAATATTTTTGTATTTTAATTAGGAAAATGTGTAAAATTTTTTATATAATATATATTATATTGAAAGCACTTCTACGAACAAAAGGGTTTGTAACAACAAATCAGTATCCTGCAACAACTTATCAATCCCATCAAAGCAGACATATAAGTATGGTATCAAATCAATAAAAAATCATTCAATTCATTCCTGGAACTCCCTACCCCGTGAAATTAAAAAATCTACCAATCAAGTAAATAGAAATAGGTTTATTAAACAAGCCAAATAGTTTATCATGAAAATGCAGGATGACACTACAAAATAAGTATAGGAGTATGTGTATTTGTGTGCATGTATGTTTGAATTTCTGTGTATGTGTATGTATACATGTGTATGTATGTGTGTATTTGTATATACATGTGTATAATGCATATGCAATGTATGTGTACGCGTATACACGCGTTTTATATAACAATAACAAAAGATTCTGAAGAAAAAAATATATACTGAAATAAAATTAATAAAAAAAATCTTTAAAAATTGTTAAAAAAATCAAAAAATACTTAAATTTTTAAAAAATTTAATATATTAAATACATTAAATAATACATTAAATTTAATCTATAAAGTAAAAACACATTTAAACAAAAATTAAATTTAAAAATTCAGTATATATATATATGTATATGTGTGTATGTGTATATATATATATATGTATATATGTGTGTGTGTGTGTACATATATATATATATATTGCAGACTGATATGTGTGTATGTATATATGTATGTGTGTATATGTATGTATGTGTATGTGTGTATGTATATGTATGTATGTGTATAAGTGTATATGCGTATGTGTGTGTGCATTTATATATATGTATGTGTGTTTGTGTATGTATCTATATTTGTATGTGTATGCATGTATGTCTATGTATGTTTGTATGTGTATGTATACATGTGTGTATGTATACGTATGTATGTATGTGTGCATGTGCATATGTGTGTATGTATATGTATATATGTAAGTATATGTATATGTGTGTATATGTATGTGTATGTATATGTGTGTGTGTATATATGTATGTGTGTATGTGTGTATATGTATATATGTGTATGTGTATGTGTATGTATATATATATGTGTATATATATGTGTGTATGTATATGTGTATATGTATATATATATATATGTGTATATGTATATATGTGTGTGTATATATATATGTGTGTGTGTATGTGTATATATATATATGTATATATGTATATATATATATATATATATATATATATATATATATATATATATATATATATATATATATATATATATATATATATATATATATATGTATATTTATATATATATATATATATATATATATATATATATATATATATATATATATATATATATATATATATATATATATATATATATATATATATATATATATATATATATACTCAAAATTTAATTTTAACATTGCATCAAATTTTAAAGTTAATATGGATAAAGAATAAGAATAAAAATAAAAAATAAAAAAATTAAAAAAAAAAAAAAAATCTTTTATTTACTTAACTTTCTACTAACTTTATCTTCCTTCTTACTAATAATGCAATATTATCTTATCTTTGATATCATTATTTTGCTTATTATACCTAAATTTGATATTATTATTATTGCTTCTAATTCACTATCATTATTACTATTAATTTACTACTTTATTATGATAGCCTTTTATGTTATCTATTATCATTACTATTAGTATTAATATAGTTATATTTATTATTGTTATAATTTTACAATAATTGTTTTATATCATCGTAGGTCTTTACGCATCATCAGTTTTTAACTGTTTGTAAATGTCCCTCACTATTGTATATATATATGCAGTTATTAAGTGGAAATATATTGATTGATTGATTGATTGATTGATTGTAACTTACAAATTCTCTTATTTGTTAAAGAGTACTGTCGTAAAAATGAAATAGATTTAACTTACTTGAACAGTTCTTTAGAATATTTTTTGAAGTTTGCTCGATAGCTATTTAAAGTTTGCATGATAGTTATTTAAAGTTTGCTCAATAGTTATTTAAAGTTTGCTCGATAGTTAGTTAGACTCAATAGTCAACTTTAATTTCTAGATATTCAGTAAACTTTAATTCAAAAACAACTATTATCAAGTTTACAAAAAAAAATTTATTATTTGATAAGGTAAATTATTTAAGTAATAGGGTTTTTTTTGTTTTTGTTTTTTTATTTCTTCTAATAGTTAGGAAACTATTCAAAATAGTTTATCATTTTTGAATTATAGATTATCATAAATTAGTTAATTTGCTATAAAACCCATCCTTTTTTTCCGAAAAGAAGATGTTTGTCGTACTTAATTTTTATTTTTTTATTGCAAACTAATGCTGTTTCTTCTAAACTTTTTTGAATAACATTTTCAATCGTTCTCTGTTGGTGTCTAGGAGTGTACCCGTCTCTAAGAGAACGAGCAACTGATACAAATTTTAATATCCCTCTAGAGTTTACTTTTTTTAGTATTGAAGTCAATCTTTTACCTCGTTGTTCTATTTCTTGGTTTGATCCTACGTAAATCTGATTTAAGGAATCATCAGGGTAAATATTTCCAGAACATATGCCAAAGTTGGGTTGAAACATTAAGACTGGGCTATTTGAAAGACAATATCTTGCACTCGCTAGCGCTTCAAGTTCGTAGTTTGATTCTTGATATATAAGAAAACTTATGTTTTTCAAAATTGTGTCTATTTTATATGCCGTGTCTATCGTGTCTACCGAAAACATATTGTTTTTAATATTTAAATCGTCACTACTCATGCAATTAAATCTGTTTGATAAATCTATAAAGTCGCGCTTTAAAGCAGATAAAATTAATTCGCCAGAAAAATCCATTTTTTTCATCTTAACTATGTTTTTAAACATGTTTCGAATTGCTTTGTCTGCATAAGTTTCTTCTGGTATACTGAATGGACAAATTACTTGTGAAAGCTGGTTATTGAGGTGTTTGTGCAGCTTTAACGTTAATCCTTTATTCATAAACGCCTGAACACCGCTTTCAACACCAAAAAAGTCTTCATCGATGTCAACAAAAAACTTACTTACAGAGTTCAATTTAAGCTTTTCAAACTTCAGTTCGTTTACAACTACAAAAGAAAAGTTTTTCAATTGATGACACTTAGAAGAGGGGATTTCAAGTTTAACAGGTGATTTAGAATTACGGTTCATATACATGCAAGAATAGTTTGTTAAGTATTTTTTAAAAAAAAAAGCCTGGCATGCACAATAAGATCTTTCATTGTCATTAAAATCAAACCATCCAATATAATTTTTACTTATAAAAGAAAAATTTAGCTTTAGCCAATCAGGTGTTACCCATATTATTCTGTTGATTAATCCGGTTAAAACGGCAGATAATATAAATACGTCATTTGATTGCATTAATGGTAGAAGTATACTTTCTGTTGATGGTATTTTAAATAGGAGATCTGATGATAGTTCTATATTTTGAGTGAGTTTATTAAGCTCTTTGAATTCATCCGGAGCAGCCATATCAGAGTGACCGTCAATATGAATCTAATAAAATAAATCATTTAAGTAATCGTGAAATATCAAAATTTTGCAACTCAATATAATAATAAAGTTGACATTCATACATTTTTTTTCTTTTATCATTTATTTAAATTTTAATTTGATGTAAAATAGTTATTTTACTTAAATTTTGTAATAAAAAGAGCATTAAAAAAAATAAATCTTAGCAGCAAAATTGTAGTTAAAAAAAATCATTAATGGCATTAAAAAAAAAAAAAAGATATTCTTAAAACATTATATATACATAAAAAGAAAATACAAGAGGTAGGTATTAAGGATTTATATCAGAAGATGCAAAGAAAGATACTAAGGATTTTTTTGATTTCTGAAGAAAACCTGAGTTTGTTTTTCTTCTTTTTAAAATCCTGTATTCAACCCCGGTCTAATTATGAAAACCTGAGTCCACCCATGATTCATACCAGTGTGTTTCCTTCGCTGTTTATTAAACCTTCTTTAACCGCTTGAAACCAATATGGAATTACTAAAAGTATTTTTAATATATATATATATATATATATATATATATATATATAAATATATATATATATATATATATATATATATATATATATATATATATATATATATATATATATATATATATATATATATATTATATATATATATATATATATAATGTATGTATAATACATACATATGTAAAAATAAAGATTGATAAAAAAAAATAAGACTGCCAACTCTAATGCCCGACCTTTTTATTGACAACATCGTTATTAATAGAGAAAAAATTGTAAATAAATTTTTTAAGAGTGTATATTGATGAAAATCTATCTTGGAAAAATCATATTGACAGTACCTCCTCAAAAGTTGCAAAATCTATTGGCATTATATATAAAGCTAGAGACATATTAAACAAACAGCAACTAACGCAGCTATACTATTCATTTATTAATTGCTACATCAATTATGCAAATACAGTATGGGGTAGCAATAATAAAACAAAGCTTAAATCTCTTTATCATCATTAGAAACACGCAGCTTGCGCAATAAATTTTAAAAACCGTTTTAAGCCACTTCTGCAGGAATTGAAAGTCTTAAATATTTACCAACTAAACGTATATAACATTTTATGCTTTATGTTTAAATGTAAACAAAACTTATCTCCTTGTTTATTTAAAAATCTTTGTGTAACAAAACCCAAAAATAAGTATGATTTATCTTAATGCCCCTTTTGGTCGGAATAAGTATACTCAGTTTTATATTTCTTATCGTGGTCCATATCTATGGAACAAAATAGTTATACTTAATATAGATTTTTCTATTAATATGACTTATAATTATTTCAAACAAAAATTAAAAGAAATTATTTTTTCTCTAAAAAACATCTTTATTTACTTCTAACGATTATATATTTTTCAGTTTTATTTTAGTTTTGTTAATTTTACTGTAATCCATATAACTTGACTACGGAAAATGTAAATTTATATTATTCAAATATTGTTGAAACTATAAATTGTACAGGGCTTTGTGATAAGATCAATATGATCTTCTAGAAGTCCTTCCATTAATCTTTTATGTACATTACATTTTATTGTAAAGAATTATTATGGTAACATATATATATATATATATATATATATATATATATATATATATATATATATATATATATATATATATATATATATATATATATATATATATATATATATACATATATATATATATATATATATATATATATATATATATATATATATATATATATATATGTGTGTGTGTGTGTGTGTGTGTGTGTGTGTGTGTGTGTGTGTGTGTGTGTGTGTATGTATATATATATCTGTATATATCTGTATATATATATATATATATATATATATATATATATATATATATATATATATATATATATATATATATATATATATATATATATATATATATATATATATATATATATGTATAATATATATATATATATTAAAAATATATATAGGTTTTAATGTTGGGGGGCACATTCGTCGATTTCTAAAAAAGACTTCTATTTCTTGAAATTTCTTAGAAAAAAACAGCCTTAAAAAAAAGTTTGAGGGTGGGGGGCGGTCTCGTTGGCCAGTGTTGTAAAGTATTTTTAATACGAGTATTGAAAATATTTTTTAAAGTATTTATATTTTGTATTTTAAATACTTTTTCATTCGAGTAATTAGTATTTGTATTTTAAATATAAATTTTAGAGTATTTTCTTTTTTCAATGTTTTAAAAAATATTTTTTAAATTTATTTTATTTCAAATTAAAAAAGATATACCAAGAAGTTTTAAAAAGAGGTCTGAATGTGTTTCAAAAAAGGTGTCCCTGCAAAAACATTTTGTAGTGGAATTGATGGTCTACTAATATTGAGTTCAACTGCTATTACACAGAAATTAACGGTAAGTAGCAAAGTTGTTTTGCAAACAATTTAATTATCAACTACAAGCAACAATACAAAGGTATAATAGCCAATTGCTCAAAACTATTACCATATGTCAGCAAAGCACAGAACTATTACCATATGTCAGCAAAGCACAGAACTATTACCATATGTCAGCAAAGCACAGAACTATTACCATATGTCAGCAAAGCACAGAACTATTACCATATGTCAGCAAAGCACAGAACTATTACCATATGTCAGCAAAGCACAGAACTATTACCATATGTCAGCAAAGCACAGAACTATTACCATATGTCAGCAAAGCACAGAAGTATCATATGCTGTGAAGAATATTACTAAAATTTTATTGAAGACACCAATGTCAACATAAGTAACATATCAATTTTTAGAGCGAAGAGTAAAAGAAAAACTCAAATGATGAATGCATTAAAATTGCGCCATTTCGAACTAGTGGGGTTGGAGGTATTAGGAGAAAAATTTATGAAACCTATTGCTAATGCTCTGAACATACAGTAAAGGAAATTGTTTAGCACTATTGAATAAAACTTGTGATGTTTATTCCGAAAGATATCTATTTATAATATAAATAGATATAATAAAATTTATATTTATATATTTATAATATAAATAATTTAATAAAATTTATTTTATACTTCATCTGCTTTAAAACAAATACTTGTTTGTATTTAAATAATAAAAACAAATACTTGTTTGTATTTAAATCAAAAGTATTTTAAATATTTTGTATTTAAAATACTTTTGCTTGAAAGTATTTTGTATTTGTATTTTAAATACTTTTTGACCAAATACTTGTTTTTATATTTAAATAGTTTTTTGAAAAGATCTTTTACAACATTGTGTAGATTAGATTAAAGTAATATGAACACCTAGGTAATGTGAGCCTACCAAAAGATTTCTAAGATGCGAGCAGTGAGGTTTAACTTGCTTTGTATTTTTTAATTTGACTTTATGTGATAATAATAGAAAGCAGTATAATTAGAGTAAATTTATACACATTATTTAGTGGCTTTCATCTAATTAAAACATTATTTAATTTTTTGTGTTGTTAAAATATTATCATTACACGTGTAGTATGAGATTTTTACTCCCGCGTTTTTTTTTACTTCCTAGTAATAATCTCATTTGAAATTTTTACTCCCCAGTAAATATCTTATATTAAATTTTTACTCTCATAATGAGATTTTTACTGCCATAAAATTTTTTTGCGGCAAAATGTATATTGCAACTTTAATGTATTTTGACAATTTTTTTTAACGTTTTAAAGGTTTTTAAAAGCAGTAAAGAAGCAATTTTGATTAATATGAACATTATTTAAAAAACTTATGACAAAATCAATTGACAAAATGTTAGGCATCAATAAACAAAATATCGCCGTTGGACGATTTAATCTAACCATTTGTTTAAAAACCAATTAAACTTATATATTTAAACATATATGAAAAAACTTCTTCAGACCGGTCTATTTTATCAGACTTGCAATGAAGATGAACGCAACTCAGTTTTGCTAAAATTTTCCAACCTTATGCTCAACGAGATGCATGAGGAAGTCGACATACTGATCACTGGAGTTAGCATAATCGGATATATAGTTGGCATTCGGCAAATGTCAGCTAACAAGAACATTTTTATGTTCTTTTTTTTTTTAGATCTTAGTTAGCAAATAAGTTTTTCTTGGCCTTAGTTGGCAAAAAGCACATAACCCCCCCCCCCCCTTTTTTTTTTTTTAAATCTTTTCTGGACGGCCCTAGATGCGACATAGGGAACTGACGAGGACATAACAAGGTTTGCTTTATTTATGATGGGTAAATATCCATATATACATACAGACAGAGAGAGAGAGTGAAAACGGAAAAAAAAAAAAAAAAAAAACAATAATTGAAATTAAATAACAATATTTATAATTCGTTAGATGAATACATAATTAAATGCACTAGATTTTCAACTGTTATTCACAGCTTCGAAGTGGATTCCAGATGAGTTGTCTAAAAATATAAAGTAACCAACTTATTAAGCCGTAAACTGCACGTGTAGGTCATCGGTTTTGGTTTCGCTCCATATTTTCATGGATATCTACCTTAATAAATGAAGCGCATCCATTTATCTCAATTATCTTCAAGATTTTAGTTTTACAAATATGCGTTCGAATTGGCATACTCAAATATTTAGTTATTTCATTCTGTATTTTGTTACACATATGGTTAACAACTTTGTTTTTAATTGGCTAATGTTCATCTTCATATTCATTTATAATAAAAGAAACTGCTCTAAAAAAAGCAGTTTCCATCTCCTTTAATTCTATGAATTCTTCTAGAACAAAGAGTTAGGTCAATGTTTCCTACCGCAAAATTGTGTTTTCTAACAATTCCAAACTTTTTGCAATTTATTTTCTTATATCAAAAACTCCACATTTTGCTATTCTTTCATTTAAAACACATATACTGCTTTCATGTTGAGTATTATCTTACGATTTGTTTGATTCGACGGTATGGTTAATTGGTCCAGTTTTGACATTATCACCATTTGATAATTTTGAAAATTTATATATTCTACTGCAATAACAGATTACAAAGCAATATTTTTGTTTAAATAATCGCTTCCTAATTGCCTTTTAAGAAACCGCAGTAATTAAAACGTTTAAAAGTATTCACAAAATACAACGCGGTTTAGTTGTTTTGCCGAAAAATATTTTATGAAAGTAAAAATCTCATAATGGAAATAAAAATTTAATATAAGATTTTTACTGAGGAGTAAAAAAACGCGGGAGTAAAAATCTCATACTACACCGGGTGAAAGTATAGCAAACATGCTCAAATTTTTATTCAGGTATAGCTGACCAATTACTGAGTACAAGCAATTGCTTTTTTTATTCACCCTACCTAATAATGTTGATTTAAAATCTTCTGAAATAATTTGTTTGCAAAACAAGAGTTTCGAAATTATGCTTACTATTGAAATGTAAAATGAGCAAAGTATTGAATAAAATAATCAAATTTAGCACTAATATTATTGAGAGTCACCAAGTTAACTATATTTAAAAAAAGTTTTTCATTTTTAAAAACCAAGCACTCTTTTTCTCCAAAATCAGTGAAATTTAAAAGTACTTTAACTTCGGTCACTAATGGATTATGTGCAACGCGTCACTAAATGATAAAAACAACAATCATCAGGAAAGTATTTCCAGGTAATATAAAAAAAAGCTTCCTAAATTTGCAAATGGGCCTAATAAAATTGCTGCCCCTACCCACACCCCCTAAGTGGAGGTGTGGGTAGACTAGCCACGGCTCTGCTTCTATATGAAGGAACGGTTGAAATAATAATAAAAGTTAACATTAGTATTTTTAAGAGCAGTGCCATGGCAAGTGGGTCAGAAGCCCCTTCCCCTCCTTTAAAGCCTGCCATTAGGGCCCCAAAATCTTATAACTTTTTTTCCCTATGTATTACCAAATAAATAAAAACGTTTTTAAATTTCTAAAAGAGCCCTTAAATTTCCAAATGCACCCCCTAAAATAACTAGCACAATTTTTTTAACTATTTTATTATAAAATAACATTAGAAAACAAGTTTTCATAATTTAATGTTAAATTTGTCATATTGAAATATTTTATTGCGATTATTTAGATCTTAAATATTAGTGATATTGCGATGTTAAGTTTGTAATAATGTGTTGATAGAAATGACCAAACTTATAAGATGGTATAGAAATTTCGGTCACAATAGCTGTTTCTCATTTAAAATAAAAAGGCCGGGTGAATATAAAAAAGCAATTGTTTTTACTCAGCGTTTTTGGAGTAATTGCTCAGCTGAATAAAAATGTGAGTAATTTTGCCCAAATTTTAATTACGTAAACCCTTTTGTTTATTCCCTTTTTTTTTTATTCATCCGGCTAATTGGGCGGGGTGAATAATTATAATAAAAAACCCTTCTCCTTTTCACTTAATTCCAGTAGAAAACACTATGTTGTTAGATATTGAAAAACACATTAAAATTTGTTTATTATCTTTTCCCCAATTTAAATCCATACACTTCGAGAAATTCCCAGTGCGAAAAAAGATATGTTTAGACGAATAAAAGACGTCTTTTTTATAACTTATTTTGTCTTTTTATAATCAGCCTAAATAAAGAAGTGGAAAAGACGTATTTTAAAAAGATGTCTTCATAAAAGAGGTCGAAAAGACGTCAATCGGTTGTACGTCTTTAACAAGACGTAGAAAAAACGTCTTTTATATCTATGACCTTTAAAAAAAAGAAATGAGAAAATTTTAAATCTAAATGTTAAATTAAACAACAAATCTAAATGTTAAATTAAACAACACCCAGTATAAATTTTTTTTTTTAGGGAGGGGAGGGGAAAATTCATTAACGTTTCCCACTGGGAAACAACTTAAGTTGTTAATAAGTAAATCATAATTTGCTTATTATAATTATAATAAACAAATTATTATTTGCTTATTAACAACTTTCGTTGTTAATAAGTAAATCATTATTTGCTTGAGAAAATTGAAAATCATTATTGCCTATCGAACCTAACAAAGATGGGTTTTACCCACAGTATCGTAATTACGTTCTGATTGGCCAGTTTTTTGTTTACAAAATACTTTTATAAAAATTTTTTTATGTGAAACGTTTTTGCTTAGAAAATTTAATTAAAAATCAATTATTTTCGGTAAGCGGGTTTATTTTATAATTTATGTAATAGAGTAATATATTATGTAAGATATATATATATATATGCTTATATATATATGTTCCTATACATATATATATACATATATATATATATATATATATATATATATATATATATATATATATATATATATATATATATATATATATATATATATATATATATATATATATATATATATATATATATCGATATGATCTAGTCTCAATTAAGTTAGTCGCAGGTATGTGTTTTAAAAAGTTTTACCGTTAATTTTTGGACTCATTTTTTAATGTGTTGTGCTTGAAGAAAGTTGTTTATTACTTATTAAATTAAAATATTTATTATCAGACGAAAAATAAAACCTGTAAACAATTTCTGCCTGTATTTACTTGTTCAAGTGCCAGTGAAACAAACGATAAAAAAGAAGAAGTATTCAGTAGGCTTGCAATTTTTTTATATATATTTTTAAATGATCTGAATAATTTTGTTGTTTTTATTTAGTTGAATGGTGAAATTGTTTATGCAAAAAATTGGCTCTTTAACTTTTATGTTTTAAGTTGTTTTTTCCTTGTTAACTATTGTCTGTTGTTAACTACTGTCTGTTGTTAACTATTGTCTGTTGTTAACAAAACAAGTAAAAAAATGTATACATAATGACAACAGATTTATCTTTAGAACTGTTTGCAAAACTTTTGCTTTGGATACAAAAGACCAAGTGAAAATGATACAGTTACAGTAAATGAATAACAACTCTTAAGGTGTATTAGCTGAATTATATTTTTGTTTTGATAGTCTTTAGTCAATAACGGATTTTCAAATTGTTATGAGAAAAGAAACCTCTTTTATATTGACATCTAAAAGTGGTTTCTTTCTCGGTATCGGAAAAAGCTTCTTGTCATACTTTGTATGCAGAGCTATTATCATTTTCATTTGATAAAAACAACTTTTTAATTATGAAAAATAAGAATACTATAGTGTATAGGATACTATAGTATACTTATAAGTATGACAAACAAATCGTTCCGACCCCGAGTAAAAAAACTTTTTTAGACATGCATAATTGATAAACAAGACGCATTTTTTATGTCTTTTCCTGACAAGATAAAGACAAAAAAGACGCCTTTTCGATGTCGAAAAAAGATGTCTTTTATATTTGCATATTCGACTAAAAAAAGGTGTCTTAAAGACGCATTTTTTATGTCTTTTAATTACAAGATTAAGATAAAAAAAGAGGTCTTTTCGATATCGAAAAAAGATGTCTTTTAGATTTGCATAATCAATTAAAAAAACGTCTTAAAGTCATCGTAAATAAGACTTTTAAAGACGTCTTTTCGACGTCTTTTTTCCCACTGGGTTGTAATCTCTAAAAAGCATCCAGATAAAATACTTTTTAGAGAGAGCTGGAACGAGCAATTTCTAATGCTATTGTTATAAAACCAGTTAAAAAGAGGAAAATGTTGTTGGAGTCCCTTCAGCCTTCACATAGAGTGCCTATACATCTTTCCTCATCAAAGTATAAAGACCTACAGCATCTCAAACATTTTTGCAAACAAGACGCACAAGAATTTTACAATTATCCTTCATAGATCAATTATCTTCCATAGATCAATTATCTTCCATAAATCAAATATCTTCCATATACTTGCGCTTAAAATTGAACACTTTAACTCAAGCGATTAATTAAACATCTTAGTTTGTGCAAACATAAATATAGTAAATATAAAATATTTGTGGATTTTCATCAGAATGTAAAATAAAGTAAAGATTGGTATTTAGATAAAAAGTAAAAGGGCCATGCGGGTATACCTCATAGCCTCTGGGGCCACCACGACCCTAAATATGATACATTCTAAATAAAAATATTTTTATAATATATAAGTAATATTTTATCATCATAATATTTTAAATATTTCCATTAATAATAAAAATTGTTGTATACATAAAATGTGACAGTAATTACCCCAGATGTTTTTGGTTTAATTTACAAACACAAAAACTTAAAAAAACTTAAAGCTGTAAAAACACGAAAGAAGTATTTTAAAGTATTTAAATATTTAAAAGTGTTTTAATAAAATATTAAAAAGCGTTTTATCAAATAATTAAAAAGTATTTTATTATTAAAAAGTATATAAAGCAAAAATATCAACAATAAATTTTATTAAAATGTTTTCATTGAATTACATGCATCTAGTTTGTTACGCTTAGTTACACTTTAAGTACTTTATTTTTTTTAAATGGTAATACTAATAAGACTAAGCAAGGGAAAGCATGAGACTCGTGCCATAATTAATAAGATTTTGAATAAATCACTTTGTTTGAAATATTGGTTGTTACCCAGTAATTTTTCAAAACAACCAAGATATTGTTTGGAGTTAAATAGGTGGAAAACGTTTTTTCATACTTTATACAGGAATGATTGTGTTGAAAGGAATATTGAGTGCTCCTATGTATAAGGATTTAAATTTTGCAATAGCTATTTGAATTTTATTTAAAAAAAGGCAATGATTGCAGATACTCAAATTTAGAAAATGCAAGTCTCAATTTTAGACAATGCACGTCAATCTATGATGTTAATTTAAAGGAATATTTTAGTGAACATTTTTGCTGACCAATCAAATTTAACATTGTTGCACGTGTGCAAAATCTTTTTTTTTTTTTTTTAATTCTCCGCTTTTGTTACAATTAAATTCTGTAATATAATATCAGATACTCTTATTCTTTCAAAAATAAACCAGTTATAAATATAAAAAATCAAAGACAAAATAATAAGAGTTAGTTATGCAAAAATAAATAAAAAACGCGGGAAACTTGCAGAAGACCATTAAGTCTTATCATCAAGAACCGTTGTTATAATTATGTTTTTACAATGTTAAATTCCTATAATAGTGTTAAAAGCTTAATTAACTAAGGTAAATAGTGTTAAAACCAAAAACTTTTCAATGTAAAAAGACAAAAACAAAAAAACAAACAAACAAAAAAAAAAAAAAAAAAAGCAGTTTAAAAGAAATCATTAATAAGATTTGTATACTTTGAAATATTCTTTTTTATTAGTTTTTGAAGGCAATTTATATTGTTTACACCTGGCAAATTACTATATTTTACTTAAATTTGATTCCAGATATGCGGAGCACGATACGTAATTTTAAATTGTTTTTGTTTAGTTAAATCTTTGACACATATGCGACAATGTACAACTTTATAACACGCCTCTGGATAATATATGCTCCTATGTATAAGGATTTGAATTAGAAAATTACTTGCAACTAATAAAATTGGTACGTTCAAAACATAACCCTTTTGCGCAAATATATAAAAGAATTAATAAAATAGTAAAGTTTTGAAATTATCTAAGTTTTTGATAAAATAAAGTTTTTTAGCAGCGGTGTGCAGTGGTTAAATTCATTGATGTTTGTTTTTAATAGTTTAAAGAGTGTTGTTTGTACCAAAGGTATAACCACTTTGGTGATCTAGTGTGTATGTTTACCTGTTGATAATGGATTTGTTATTTTACAATTAATAGATATTAAATGATAGGTAAATGTTAAATGTTTATGCAAGTACAAGTGATGTGTTGTTAAATGTTATATATAGATATAACATTTGAAAATACTTTATTTTGATGTCACTATTTTTAAGTTTATTTTTAAAAAAAAAATGCTGTTCTATTACACTAATATAGGTAAGGTAAATGACATAGACATTGTTTATTGGCCACTTTTTTTTATTTTAATTTATTCTGGTTTATTGTATTTTTATAGGTCATTCCACTCAAAAGATTGGTGGCAATACACCAGCATCAACTATAAACAAAGCTTTAGATGAGAGAATGTTAGCGGGAGGGTAAAAAACAAAAAATGATCATTCAAGACTACTTACTTGTACAAAGCTCAACCTACCGGACCCACGACGTCAATTCAACATTGGAATAACGCTGTACTGACGTTGCAATTTTAGATTAACGTTAATCCAATGTTGGATTGACGTCTTGTACCCACTGGGTACTTGGTAAAACTTATAAAATTTTGTTTGAAATTTATGAACTATGTTTAGTTCAATTTTCAAAAAGTTTTAAAAAGTTTCAAAACTTTCACTGTATTATATATATATAGAAGTTTCAAAAAGTTTCAAAAAGTTTCAAAAAATTTATTATTTTTTAGCAGTTAAAAAAAAAAAAATTTTTAGTTTGGGCTTTTTTCTTTGTAAGTGCTCTGGCGACGGAAAAGCAACTAAAAAAAAATTGTTGATCAATTAATAAGAAGACCATTTAGAGAGAGCTCCCAATGTTGAAGAAAATAAAAACATTTATATTTGTAAATCTCATTAACATGGAATATGCGTTTTAAATTATTGTTGTATTCTTTTGATTTTACAATGCCTTTATAGTACTATTATAATTAAATAAGAAACATGTTTATTTAGTAAAATTTGATAAATTTTGCAACTAAAACATGGATTAAACATCGAATAATTACAAAATCTATCAAAATAAATTTAAAAAAAGAAAGAAATGGAGGATTTAAAAAAAAAAAATCTCTTACTTAAATTTTGTAATTGTTCGTTAATTATTTTGATTATAATAGTAGTATAAAGGCATTATATGTTCAAAAGAAATATAAATATAAAAAACTATTATTTTTTATTTTTTTCCTTTTTTTTCTTTCTTTCCTTATTGAAAATATAATTTTAAGAAAATTTTAATAGTACTTGTAAGATTTGGTGTTATCTTACATGGCTTTTAAAAGCTATGCTACGTATCGTTTATATTACGGGGCTTAATGATAAGACAACTATTTTCTTCTTTTTGCCCCTGTTGTGTAAATTTTTTTATTTATTTAGTTATTGTAATTATTGTAATGAGTATGTAATTATGTAAGAGTTGTAAAAAATTAAATAGGAAATAAAGGGTTGAAAATAAATGGTTTGATACTGTCATACCGTAACATTTGGCCGAAAAAAGCTTCTAAAATAAATGCATTTAATACAGGTATAAAAACTGTTTTTTGAACGTTTATTAAAACCATCGCATCACCATTTCATTTAGATAAAAAAAGCACCTAAAATAAACATTTCCATAACACCTTTTAAAAACATTGTCTGAATATTTATTAAGACTGTCAAATTAAATGATCGTAATAAAATACTCATAAACGTTCAGAAATGATAATGAAATGCATTTCCTTTGGTGGTCCTATATAATTACAAATAGAAACTATATATATAAACCATTAAAAATAATAACTATATTTAGGTAAATATAATTTTTTATTGTCTAGTTTCTCATAACATATTTTGATAACGAAAACAAAATTAAACAAATTGCTGCAAATAAGAATAAAATAACATTTTTTGCTTTTTGTTTTTTAGTATAAATAGTCTTTCCTAATTTATTAATTTTTCAACTTTTTTGGTTTGCCGTAATAAAACCTTTTTTTAAATAACATTACGCTTGACTTTCTGCACTCGGCTTGTCTAATAACAACAAAGTTGAATACTTTTAAAAAAACAGTTACCAATTTTCTTGGTCCTTATATTGATGAAATTCTGATATGGAAAAATCAAATAAGAAATGTGAGTAGTTAAATATTAAAAAGAAGTATTTTTTAACTAAGTAAGAAGTTTTCTGTATATGTACACATGTCTTAAGCTATTTTGTTTCGCTTATTGATTGTCATATAAACTATACGAGCATTGCGTGGGGTAGTACTAATAAAAATAAACTTGAACCTCTTTATCGTTAACAGAAACATGTAACATGCCATGTTAATTGAAAGCACCTACTAATAAAAAGCTTTTAATATTTATGAGCCTAATATGCCAAATCTTATCTAATGAATGTTTGATTTATCCTCTGAACCTTTTAATTTGTTTATCTTAAAAGAAGAAAACAAATATGATTTACGAAATGATAGCGACATTGGTCAATCAGAACATCGAACTGGTTTTGGAAAATATTAAACTTTATTTCGAGGGGCTATATTTTTGAATAAAATCTTTTTGAAAATTTTTGACTTTTCTCAGCGTTTCGGTATCACTCTTTCAAACAAAAAACTTAAAAAAGTTACTAAATTAGACGATACCTTCGTGATGTTCATCAACAATTACGACAGAAATTTCAGATTCAGAAGGATTTAGGTAAATATCATTTTTTATTGTCTGGTTTCGCATAACATATTTTGATAACGAAAACAAAATTAAACAAATTGCTACAGACAAGAATAAAATAACATTTTTTGCTCTAAACCGTGCCATCGTGTATAATAAAATGTAACTCAATACTCATTTGGTAAATAAAAACTTTATGCAATTGAAATTGCTAAATACTATCTCTGTAAGATTAGTCGGGATTAAATAAAAAATTTTCATTGTTTAACAAATCTTTGCAAAGGAGCTTATTAAAAAAGATGTTCTCCGTTCACTATGATTTAAAAGGTTTTAACATAAAGTATACTTTTATTAAAAATAAAGATAAATAGAAAGACAATGAACTATAATATGCAAAATGTAGACGATGGAATGAGTCTTTTCGCAGAAGGTAGATAACATTAAACAATACTGCATAAAAAGATGACATTAAGATAACATTAAACAGGACTGCATAAAAAGATAACATTAAGATAGTATTAAACAGGACTGCAAAGAAAAAATTAAATAAAATGACCTTTGTTTGAATTTGTGTTGAGCAGAACTTCCTACGAATAATGTTAGCTTTAGCATACAGAAAACGTATTTATTTTAAAATATCTTTTCATCGAGCATTTTATTTGAGATTAGATGTCCCAGATATTTGTATTGAGTAGTGTACGCAAGAATCATATTAGCAAATATAAAACAAATGTTTTTAACTCGGGGTTCATAACTTTAAAATAAAATTATTTGAGACTTGGTGTTGCTAATGCTTCAAAGCAAGAGCTTAAGTCAAATGGGTTCTAAAGAACTAGGGCTGAGGGTGCACATAGTACTATATCATTGGTATTGTCAACGTTTTTTAAAAAGAATATTTCTTAATTGCAAATAAGCAGAAAATTTATTACTTAATTTATTCGACCACTCGTGCACCATTTGTAAAGTATTTACACATTATATAACAACAAAGTTTTTTTTATCTAAACTTAGTATAAAAAAAATAAGTGATAATGTAAAAACACGAAAAAAATCAAGATTCTATCATTTTCAAACTGAATTTTCAATTTTTTTTAAAGAAGTAGTTAATATCGTACTTGAATTTTTTTATAAATACATTATCAACATTTCTAGTTTCAAGTGTACTTGTACTTCTTTTTATTATGTATAGGGAAAGACAGGACAAGATGACGAACGTTTAGAAAACCCTGAGTTATCGCAAATCTGCCATGAAGCAATTTTTCAAAAATGAAGCAATTTTTCAAAATTTACTTTTCATGTTTAAATATAAACTAAATCTGGTTGCAGAACATTTTACAGCACACTTTTTTAAAACAATATAAATAGATACAATACAAGAGCAACAGGAAACTTTAAGATACCGTTTGAAACAACAAGACTCTCAAAATTCTCAATTACATATCGTGGTCTCTATTTATTTAACAAATTAGTTTCCAGAAACGAATCATTATTAAACCTAAACAACGAACACTCTCTGAAAATAAAGCTAAAATCTACAATAATCAAATTAAAAAACTATAAGGGATTTTTTTTAAATATTAATAAAAAAAATTAAAAAAAATGTAGCTTAACTTTTAATACAAATCGATAATAAAAAACAATAATATTAACAACAAGGTATATATGTGCAACATACATATATACCACGTATGCAACTGATTTTTATGTTTATTACACGTCCAGAGCAAGGTACTAGATGACAAGACTGACTTAAGTCTTCTGCGAGCTTCCTATAACTACTAACAAGTTCTTATCAATCTTACACAAGTTTTGTTTTTATCATATTTATACACAAATATTAGTTTGAAATATGGTAAATAAACTTATAGTCAAACATCTAAACACTTCTCCGAAAAATCAGCTAACTTATTTTTATTTATTGTATACTTTTATTTTAACTGGAATAATATAGAGATATTTTTATCGGATTATATTTATGCACACGTCACTGCATTGTTGTAATTGGTTTTTATTTTAATCGTGTCTCGGAGTTGTATGCAACTATATTTTTGTTTACTTTGTATATTTCGAACTTTGTGTTTATGATATTTATGTTAGTATATCTTTACCGCCAATCTGTGATTGGTCACTTGTAAATACTTTGTAATTGAAAAATAAACATGAAAAAAAAAAAAAAAAAAAAAAAAAAAACAATAACACTTTGTCAGTATGTTTATGTTATCATATTGATTCATTGCCTGCATGAATTTTTATTTTGCAAGTAGAAATTCTGGTCACGTGACCAGGGCAAGATGACTTTATTATGCGATTTCTGCCTCTGAAAATTTTTAAAATTAGCTACTATAATTAAAGTAATACAAAATAAACACGCGTCACAAAATATTCCTACAAAAGTTACGCCCAAAGAACACCATCAATTATGAATAGCCGAAACCAAAGTATATTTTTTTAAGCGCAAAAAGTAAACTTAGACGTATAAAATTGCGTTAATATTAAAAAAATTGCGTTAATATTAAAAAAAAACAGTTGGCGTTTTAAAGTATTTTAAAGTATAATATGCAAATACAATTTCGCTTTCACTCATTTTAAATTTTTTTTATTGAGTTGTTATATGAAAATCCATCTTGCCCCATTTTCTCCTAGATATATTTCTAATTTTTTGTTATCTTTAGGCTTTAGTATTTATAGCGGTCTAAAGTTAGAACAGTTTTTTCATTGTTTCGTTTTTCTGATGCCAGTGTGAACACGGATAACTTTACTTAATAATATAAGATTAGACCCACAGTCATATGGTGTAAGAAAGTCTATATAGCCATGTTGGTTTTAATTGCTAAGTTCTCTTTATGTTCGTACTTTTTACAACTTTTGTTCTTTTGAACTATGATTTCTAGACAACGACCAAATTTTTTATTTTGATTTTTTCATTTCTTACAAAACTTGTGGCTGGCCAGTATAAGAATGTTGATAATACATTATAATAAATAATTTTCCAGTTATTACACTTTTTAAAGTATGATATATAGCAAAGTACGAAAGTTAACTAAAACTCTTTAGATTTTCTAAAGTACCGCCATGGCCATTGGCCATGGGGGTACTTTGAAAAAATACTTTGTATTTATCATTGCACCAATTATACAAAGCAAATATGTGAAAATGAACAGAATTAGCAACATTCAGTTTTTTATTTCTACAAAATTGTCTTATTCTTAAATACAATTAATTAACGTTTTAGTTCGTACTGTTTTTTTCTCTTATGTTTTAGCCACGTCACGAAACAAAATGGCTATCGCAAGACAAATAATAAGGATAAAGTAATTAAATATACAAAAATGAAAGACAAAATCATTAGAACAATAAAATCAATATTCAATATCTTAACGCTATAAAAGGCAAAACTTCACCTCTTTTTCTCGTTAGTAGCTCGATACTTTCGCTTTTTTCGTTTTTCAGATTTTTTAAATTGTCCGATAATACCGGTTTGGAAATTTGGATTCAAGTTAGTTTCCATGTCCCTTATTTGATCATCAATTTCACGTTGATCTGAAGAAGTTGTGTAGGTGGAGCAAACATCACAATTTAATAACCGCTGGTTATCATAAAAAGTACTTACTTCTGGTGATAAACTACTATCTACGGCGCCTGATTTAACAGACGTGTCAACAGAATTATCATGTGTCTTTATGGTTGCTTCTGATTCAATAGTTATTTTAAATCTAGATGAGTTCATACAATCATTAGTTTCAGTATAGTTGCTTGAGCAAGGTACCGGAAATGCATTTTGACTGGAGCCACAACTAATATCTTTTAATATTGGAGAAAAACAATTGTCTGAGGGATATTGATCGGCTTTATTCGATAATATACCTGTATTAATATTTTCAATATTAAGATTTACATTAACATTAGTTTTATAAAACGGACTGATAGAATTTTCTAAATCTAATTTATTCATATTTCCATCATTGTTGAACGAGATAGCCGTTCTGCTTGATTCTGGTTGCGTATTACCGCGTTCTGGTTGCGTATTACCGCGAAATATTTTTCGTAGCTCGTAAATATCTGCTTCAAGATTAGTTCGTTCTAAACGCGGAGCGCTTCCTAGAATATTTCCATCGCTACTTGTTTCGTCAGAGACTTCATTACTTAGCGAGACCTCAGTACTTAACGGAGGTAAGTCAATCAGGTTTAGGACAGCACTTAAAGCCCTTATAGGATGATCATTTTCACTATCGCTTGAGTCTGAGTTTTCTTGCGATTTTTCAATTAAAGCATCAAAAAAAGCAAGCATACCGGTATCTTCTTCGAGAGACTCAGCACTGTAGTCATGACTTAGTTGTTGGTGTCTATATAATCTCTCACGTTCGTGTCGACTATAACACTTACGTTGAATAAAACTCTCTTCACCGGTAATGTCACCTACACAGCCACTAAATTGATACGGACTCCAAACCTATTTAATAAATAAGAGGGAAAAAAAAGCTTAAACAAGGTAATACAATAAATCGGAGTGTTAAGAATAAAAAGGTAATATATTAGGATAGTTTATTTTATAGTAAATTTTAATTGACAAAAGCAGAACTAATTTTAAGCAGCATTTTAGACCAAATTTAAAAAAATCATACTGCATAATTAAAGAGTAAAATGATCTTTAATCACTTTTCCAAATTATCATGAGACGGGGCAAATTGGAAGTTCATCTTTAAGAACCGTTTTACATTAAATATTGATACTTTCAAATAAATAAATCTAATATTATTTAATATAATAATATCATTTTTTAAAAAGATTTGGATTTTACTTATAATATTAAAAAAAATGTTTTAATGAAAACAAAGTTTATTTAAAAAAATAGAAATAAAGAAGTTAACCATAAGTATTTAGTCTAAAAATATTTGATGTTTGCTATAAAAACTCCTATTTTTTTTTAAATGAATATAAAAAGAAACATCATCACTTTTCAATTTTTTTCAATTGAAATACTTGATAAATATGTTTTTTTACACAAAATTACCAAGTTTTTACTACAGAAAAAGAAATAAACTATAGTTGAAAAAATGCTTTGTATTTATGATTGCACCAATTATTTTAATTGGTGCAATCATAAATACTTTGTATTTATGATTGCACCAATTATACAAAGCAAATATAAGTTTATTAGAAATAAGTTTATAGCAGGTTGTGAGCTACTATAAACTATAAAGTTTTATTCACAAAAAAAATGTGTAACTTTGTCTTTCTTATATTTCTATATTTAAAATTTTATACACTTTATATTCTCTGAGCTATAGATAAAAAATACATACAGTATCGGAAAAAACAAGTGCAACCAAATAATGCTAATTTAGTTTCTTTAAATAAAAGTGCTGCATTTTTTCAATTTAGAGAAATAACTAAGCAACTGTTTAGAGACAACGTTCTTCAAGTTTTATTCATCACAAAGTTCATTATTTGTACACGAAAATTAATAAATTAATCAAAATTATTAAAAAAAGTTGATTTCCTTCTGGACAAAACAAGTGCAAATTCAGAAAATGTTGACCAAGCTGTATTTCGCTATCAATTTTTCGTGACAAATCCTTTGTTGTCGATCACAGCCTTGCATCTTTGATGCATAGATTCAATCAGGTGATTGATGAAACTTTGTGGAACCGCTGCCCAGACCTTTTGGATTTGTTCAAACAGTTGACCCTTAGTACGAACACCTTCACGAATAATTCTGCGGTTGACGATCTCCCCCAGGTTCTCGATAGTGTTGAGATTCAGAGATTAAGGCGGCCAATCTATCACCAATAGGTGGTTGTCTTGAAACAACTACTTGACTACTTTTGCACTGTGTTTCGGTTCGTTGTCTTGCTGAAAAACCCATTTTATTGGCATATTCCATTCAGCATGAGGTAACATAACATCTTTCAGGATATTTTTATACATGAAATGGTCCATTATTCCATCGATTCAATGTATTGGACCTAGACCGTTAGCAGAAAAACACCCACAGACCATTACATTGCCTCTACCATGCTTCACTGTCTTATGGCAGTAACGTAAATGGAGACATTTTCCGGCCGGTCGACGTACACGGCAAATGCTATCACTCCCAATGATGTTAAACTTCGATTCATCACTGAACAGGATAGTTCGCCATTTCTGCACATTCCAGTCAATATGAGATGTAGCAAACAGGAGTCTTTTCTTCTGGTTCTTTAGTGAAATCAGCGGTTTCTTTGCAGGGCGTCGAGAAAACCATCCGGCTTCAACAGCATGTCGTCTGATTGTTTGGTCTGATACAGGCAGCTCTAATTGCTTTTGTATCTCGACTGATGATATCCAGGGATCCTTCTTGACGGATCTGACGATCATAGAATCTTCTCTAGAAGTGTTGGAACGCGGTCTTCCACCTTTGTTATCTGCTGCCAACTTCCTCGTAGAACAATATTTGGAACATAGTCTTGATACGGTCCATTTTTTCACGTGATATTCATCACAAATACTTTTTTGTGACATTCCACTAACGTAATCTCCAATAATTTTCTTTCTTAGTTCCAATCCAAGACTGTCGGGAGCCATTTCTGCACTTGTCAGTGAGTCATTTTTGCACAAGTCATAAAAATAATAAAAATAAATAATCGCTCTTCTCAAGGCTTACCGTGTTACATTTACCTTGTGATGATACAATAATGCTCTGTGGAACACAACACCTTGGTTGGATGTGGACTGTATTGATGTAATGAAACACTTGTTGTATTTTATTTCTTGTATTGATGTTCTTCGATAAAACACTTTGATAAAACTCACTTCGATAAACTGTCTTGAAAATACTGACTGATTGACTTCCATATACTGACTGAATTACATGTCGGCTTACATGTCTCTTATATAGTAAAATGAACCTGTGTGAACCTGTTCTGGAAGATTCTATATGCTTCTTTTTGATGCTTCTGGAAGCTTCTAGATGCGTCTGGATGCTTCTGAATGTTTCTGGATACTTCTGGATGCTTCCAGATGCTTCTTCTGGAAACTTCTGGAAGCTTCTGCATGCTTCTGAAAACTTCTGGATACTTCCAATTATTAAAAAACTTCCGTGACCTTGATATGGACCAGACTTAAGAAAATGAAACAAACCAAAAATGTTGCACTTGTTTTGTTCGCTGAAAAATGGCACTTGTCAACGAAATTCTGCCTGTGTGCTGTTACCTGTCAGCTGATTGCCCATGTCATGGCATGCTATGACTCTAGACTCCTGAACTGTTTGCTGTGGTAGTATAGTTTGTTTTGTTTTTAAGACGTAAAATTAGGAACACTTTTTAGCATTGTTTGATGTTGATTGTAAATATTTTGTCCAATACTGTACATATATACATCTAATGTATATATGTATGTATCTTTTACCATCAGATGGTTTCAGCTGTTTAGATGGATGAAGGCAACTTACCTTGGAAAAAAAAAACTCTGAAAACTTATATATGAATAAAGGTAGAGCTTGTAAACTTTGGATCTAACTCTAAGATTATAACTTGATAATTTATATGTGAATAGGGGAAGAGCTTGTAATCTTTAGATCTAACTTTAAGATTAAAAATAATTTATATGTTAATAATGATAGAACATTAGATCCTCTGTAAACTTTGGATCTAACTTTAAAAATAAAAAGTGGTATTACCTGATGATTTAAAGTAAAAACACACGAAAGAAACATAAGCAACAAACTAATTTTATAAACAAAAAACTAATGTTAATTTAATAAACAAATTAATTTTTATCTCAGGTCAAATTCGTACAACAATTATGACTGCATCAAAAGAATCAACAAATTTAGATATTATTCAAATCACAAAAACATTTTTAAACTTTGCGAAACATTTAAAACATATTTTGAAATAAAAACTGATTTACTTTTATAGATTTCTCCACACCTGATGAAGCCAATAAACTAAATTGACGATTAAATCGAACTTGATTTACAATGGAACGATGACCTTCTAACATAAAGTGTGCATCTTGAGTTTCTGAAAAAATTGCATACAAGTATATAAGTTAGCACTAAAAATGCACTGAATTTTTTTATAAGGACATTTTTAAAAATTTGCACTTTTACTTTAATAAATTTGTATATTTTCTCCTAAATATTAAATTGTACATCTTATCAACTTTTTTTATTTTCACTAAAATATCAAATTGTATACTTTCACCTTTTAATATATTGTATATTTTAAACTTTTGAAAAAATCAAGATATTTTTTTAAAGTGTAACTTTTTATGGATACCATTTAATACAAACCCAACATTGGGTTGGTATTAAATGGCATCCATAAATAGTTTTAGCATCATTAAACATATTTAATAAAACAAAAGGATAAAGTAAGAAAAACACCCATCCCATACAGCAAACCTTAAGAATAAGGGTTTTTATGAATGAGGCTCCCTAAATTACAGGAATATCAACTTTTTAGAGGTTTTTTATGCACAGGCTCTACCAACTATTTATTATGGTGGAAAGATTACCTCAGCTGATCATGTCTTAGTAGCTACAAACCTAAATAGTGATCTCGTTCCCAGAAATAAATCTTGAAATTCTCTGAACCTGCAACGATGAACTAATAAAAAAGATTAACTTAAAATCTCAACCAAATTATTAATAAAACAAACATATTAAGAAAAGTTAATAACAAATTATAAAAATTCAATCCAAAAACGTTAAACAAAAATAAATTTCCAGTAAGGCTCAGTAAAGTTAAACGAAAGAAAAAAAAAAAAAAAAACCTGATCTTTATCGCCAGCAAAACATGCACTTTTCATTGTGCATTTGTTGTTAAACCCATAACTTGAAAACTCTTGAAGAGGTTCCTTTTTACCAATATCAAACAGCATGGGATTATCACAACGCAACATTGCTAGCAGCTTACTTCCAGTGTAGTCAAAGCATACAGACATAGCACTCTTATTGCTACTCGAGCAGCCATATGTAAAGAGCTTCCTGAAAACAAGCATTCATTATATATAACACTGATATTGATAACACTGATATTGCTTAATAAAATACAACATTCATGAAAACTTATTTAACTAAATAGAACCAACAAAATAAATTTTATCATAAGTTATTATAATGTTATATAATTGCATAAATAAAGCACCCACACTGCGAAAAACCATACTTTTCAGGAATTCTTATATCCCACAGTGAAATTCCATCCACTGAATTTGCTGTTGCAACTAATCGAGGGTCAACAGGGTTAAAAGATACGCTGTGAAAAGCACCTCCTGAGAAAGCTAGTCTTGTGTACTCTAAATTAAATTCTTTTATAAAACTATTTTTAATATATGATTAACAATAAAGCATCTTTAAAATATCACTCAACACGATTTAATTCAACTTGATTGATAACTCATGAAGAAAAATTATTCACTCAACATGATTTAATGTTGAATTCCACTTGAACAAAGATTCCTAAGAAATAGGGATTCACTCAACATGATTTTATGATGTTTAACAATTATATCAATCAAATGTATATTGGAAGAGGGACTGTTTTGCAATTTATTTACATAAAAAACAAGTGCCATTTATGTCTATTTAACACTAAAACAAATTTATTTTATTTAGAGTTCAAGAACATAATAAAATCTAACATTTTAAATTTTTTTTAAATTTTATTTGGCTTTCATGCTATATTTTGCTATATAATGCTCTTATATCTGAAGATAATGTAGACTTAGCATATGAACAGCCACAATTATCATAAAGATTATTGAAGTTTTGATTTTTAACCACCATCAACTCATGGGCTGAATCTTGAATTTAAATTAAAAATGCATTTATTAGCGTTGTTCTTATTTTTGTGTTCTTGTTAACAGCACTACAGTGTTGTTAACAAAGTTTGTTTTTTCTTTCTATAATTAAGAAACGATTTTGATTTTGGAACACCCCAAAAAATTTGAAACTTTATTTAAAAAACCTTAAAGATACCAAAAATTTCATTAAAAAAATCTAAAGGAAGCACAAAAATTTTTATAGTGCAAGAAATAAGTATCAGCAATTTTTGGTTGCTTTGAGCTGGATTAGTTTACAAGCAAATAACTTAAAAATTAAAAAATCCAAAGTTAATTAGTAGCTATCTTATTTAAAAAAAAAGTTTGAAAAATCAACATAAATAAACCACTATAAAGACGCCATTTTTTGTAGAATTATAAAGAAATGTGTCACTTAAAATGCGTAAACATAAACAAAGTAAAATCTTTCCAGCATTTTATTTATTTTTTTCTGCATTAAGTTGAAGTTTATAAGCTAAAAAATTAAATTTTTTTTTTAAACTTGAACACAAAAAATCTAAAAAGTTTTTTTTTATAACTGTTTATCCAAATAAGCTAACCTAAATAAGTTGTAACCGTGCTTTATTTAAATTTGTTATTTACATAAGTTCATCTAATTACATGTCTTTTATGTCAAACTACCCATTTTTATAGGATCTAAACTTGTCTTAAAAATAAATAAAAAATTAAAAATAAATTATTTACGTTTTATTATACATAAAAACATGCAGAGTGTTTTACACCGTGTTTTAGGAAGTGTTTTATACCAAAACTTATATAAAAAAATTCATTAATTATAACTCACTTTAGTTCATATTTCATAATAAATTAAATGTAAAAAAATAAAGTTAAAATAAGATAGAATTGAATAGACTTGCAACTTTCAAATTTTGCACATTAAGGTTTTCTGGTCCACACGGCTGTTTCACTCAATATAAAAGCGAGCTTGATGTCACAAGAATTTTTGTGTTTAAAAAAAAAAAAAAAGAATTTCCACATAAAAAGAATAAAAACTCACTAACTTTAAATTAATAGTATTTTTTTTCTATAAACACTTTTATCTTAAAGTTAAAAAAATATAAAAGAACTATCTTTCTTCGTTAAATAAATATTTACATGAAACGAAATAAAAATAAACATTGTTAAAACATTTTAAATGATTTTGGATCACTTTTCTGTTTTTTGCGTATTTTACGGAAAACCTGTCTTGGGCCAATCAAGATTTGACATTTTAAGTTATATACTTGATGATTGAAATTTTACATACTTATAAACGAATGTCTATTTTATCAGATTTTTGGAGGGCATAGATAAAAAAAATAGTTTAAGTTAGTTTTTTTAGCATTATTATTTTTGTTTTTACTTATTTTATATGAAAAACGTTCAATTTTTGTTATGCCCTCCAAATTATTGAAATTTCAACCCTTTATGCACATGAAAATCAAAAAAATTCTTTTTTGTACATCTAGCTTAAACATTTTAAGGTATTTCCGATTGAAGCAATTAATTTTTCTAAAAAAAAGTTAAAAATGGCTAGTAAGCTAACACCTTCTAGACATGCGGCAAAATTTTACATACTTATACAAATGTCAAATAAAGATGCTTTTTTGAATAATGATTTTCTAAAAAGTGGGAAAAGGAACTTTGAAAGTACAATGTTTTTGGTCTAGCAACCTCAAATAAGGGAGTCTCAAATTTACAATATAAAGTAAACAAAATTAAAAAAAATTAATACATTTTAAAGGTTATTATCATAAAAAGTCCCCAGCCTATCTTAAATAAGGTTTTAATTTTTACTTTTTACTTTATAACTTCTAAAGTAAACCTGAACTTTTTATGAAACTCGAAATTTGTAAATGAATTTTAAAATTACAAAAATATTATTCAAATACTTATTCTCCTCTCATTTGGAGCAAACAATCCTTTTTTTTTTATTAGACTTCAATCACAGCAACACTTCCACTTTTAATACTCTTTTTTTCATACAAAAGATCTGGTGCTTGGAAGTTGGTCCAATTCCTGAAAGTTAGTCCGATTCCTGAAAGTCAGTCCCATGTCTTGATTTTGGCCTGGAAGTGAATTTAAGTTCTGAAAATCTCATAAGCTAAACAGACTTTTTTGTGTGTGGTTGTTGCCTTATCAAAAACCCTAAGTGTGTATACACAGTTTCAAAAAATATGGAAAAATTGGCAAATGACAATATTTTAGGTTTTCTATATATCATGTTTATTACTTCAAAATTAATTCAAATAAAGTTTAAATAAAGTTTATAAAATAATTTTGTAAGGTAAAAATATACAAAAAACAGAAATAAAATAATTTCAGAAAAAGTTGGTGTTTGTTATATTTTAACGTGATTCTCAAGTTCTCATAACAACAAGTCGAATCAAAAACAGAGTAAAATAAGTCAGTTAAGTGCTTGAAATTGATCTAATTCTAAAAAAAAATCTCTTGAAGATTATTAGACAAATGGAGTTAGTTTAGTAAATTGGATAATAAAAGGATGATACTTAAAGATTTCTATGTTTTAGGAAATGTTTCTCTGTAAAGGAAAGAAAAACAAAGATACAAACTCATGTAAAATAAGATATCATGTCAGTTAAAAATATATCTTGAGTTTGTCATTGAGTAGAAAGTGAGTGGGATCCTGGTCTTTAGCCTACCAAATATAGGGTTTTTTACAACCCTGGCTAAACAATAATTTTAGTAGGGGTTATTAGCCGAGGCTTGGGTATTTTAACATATATATATATATATATATATATATATATATATATATATATATATATATATATATATATATATATATATATATATATATATATATATATATATATATATATATATATATACCAGTGTTTCACAAAAACGTGCTATCGACGATATTTCAAAAACCATTTCAAAAGCGTGCTGAATGTAGAATATTCTGAATTATACTTTATAATTACATCAAAACTTATTAACAAACATTTTTATATTAGCAAAATATCTAATGTTTTAATTTACTGATAATGATTTTTGTATAATTGACAGTTGTATATAAATTTTTAAATTTATATAAATTACATAATTTATATAAATTTAAAAAATTATATACAACAATAATTTATATAAATTACATAAAAAAAAAAAAAAATTTGTTAAAAAAAAAGACAAATGCTTTTAAAAGCCGTTACAATTAAATAAGTTTGATCTTTAATGCTTTTATATTATTGAAATGCTTTTTAATGAAGTAACACAATACTTTAATGAATTTTTATATTAACTATAAACTGTTTTTTTATTTCTTTATATAACTAAGTATTTTTTATTATAAATGTATTTTTATTATAAAATCTTTTTAAACAAATTTAAATAAAAAACAGAGTACAAATCTTAAAATAAAGTTTGATATGGTTTTTAATGCGTAATTATTTACTAGTTTACATTTACATAGGAACTGATTTTTTATTATTAGTAAAAAAAACTATTTTAATGGTTTTCAATAATATTATATAAACATTAATAAAGATAAAATAATTATTCCGAACGTAATCAAAAACATGATTTAAATAAATTAAGCATTTTAGTTTGCTGAGTTTTGTTTTAGTTGGGTTATATATATATATATATATATATATATATATATATATATATATATATATATATATATATATATATATATATATATATATATATACTCTTGCATGTCTCTTGCATGGCATCAAAAAAAGTTTCCCATAAACTGTAGTTTTAAAGAGCGCGTTAATAAACCAGACCAGAAAAAGTTTTGAAAATTAAATTTTTTTTTTTTATTGATAGACTGCCTGGCCAAACCAAACCCTCAGTCGATGTAGCAGCACTCTCTTGCAAGTCAGGCTATTTGTCAGTCGTTGTAGTAGCACTCCCTTGCGAGTCAGGCTATTTGTCAGTCGATGTAGCAGCATTACCTTGCGAGTCAGGCTATTTGTCAGTCGATGTAGCAGCACTCCGTTGCGAGTCAGGCTATTTGTCAGTCGATGTAGCAGCACTCCGTTGCGAGTAAGGCTATTTGTCAGTCGATGTAGCAGCACTCCGTTGCGAGTCAGGCTATAAGATGTAGCAACATTTACGCATGTTTTAAAAATGTTTTTTATTAAATCAATAACAAAAACACCACTAATTAAAAAAAACTTTCTAGTCTTTATAATTGCGGTTTTTTAAAATTTTTTTAAAAAACAATTAAATTTAATGTACTTCCACATAAATTAATTGCTTTGACATTTCGATGACAATCAAAATCAGCTTAAGAGACGAGGTAATTAAAATTGTAGTCGAAAGAGACTTTTTTTACATTAAACGACTCTTTCGACTACACTATAAGGATATATATATATATATATATATATATATATATATATATATATATATATATATATAAATTAAGAGTGATAAGTGAGTATATATATATATATATATATATATATATATATATATATATATATATATATATATAT